CATCATATATATAATACTGTATCTATCTCATGGGGATATTGTGAAGATTAAACAAAAATTACACGTGTAAAATTCTTGGCTTATCGCCTACCACACAGCAAGAGCTCAACACAGAATAGCTGCTAGTATGGTTATAGTGAATATTACTGCTTTTTAAATAAGAAAGAACAAATTAAACAATAAAAAAGCCCAAAGCAGACAACTGTCCCACCTGCTTCTCTCCAGCCCTCAAGCCTATTTTATGAGCTAAGTAGCTGGAAGAAGGTCAAGCAGCACTGGCTACCATGGCTCCCCTGGCTGGCTGGCCCCACACTCGGTTATTCTGCTGAGTCTCAAGCACTTACCTGCCGGGGGTGCCACTAGATGGGTTGCCATGCAATTGGTTTCTCTTATATATGGCCTTTTTGGCCTTGGGTTTACAATTCTGCCAAAATGGTTGGCTAGGCCATAAACTTGCAAGGGATTGGTTAGTTTACTGTGCAACTAGGGTGTGCACAACCACCCAATAGGATCAAGTGACCGTGTAGGAATTGGCCAATTACTATGCAAATTGAATGACTATGGTCTACAGAGGGGATTGGTCAGTTCGTGGTCTGGCTGGAAAGGCTATGTTTTGAAATTGAATATAAAGGCCAACCCCACAGAGGTTGAGGGGGACCTCAGTACCATGAAGAAGAGCCTGGAACAGAGCTCATCCCTTGGACCCGGGGTCCCCGCACTGAGAACCTCCTAGACCCAGGAGAGAGAGAGCTGTAACACTAAAGACGGTGAGAAACGTTGGTAACCACAGCACAGCCCAGTGGCAGAGAAACAGCGGCAGCAGTACGAGTGGCGGGAACTAGGAGACGGGTGAGGGGTGACTGCAGTGGGCTTGCCAGCCATGGAGCAAGAGAGTTGAGCCCCTTGAGGCAGGAGACTTGTTGGCAGAGTAGGGTGCCTCTGGGCGCTTGCCAGTGGTGCTAAAGAGCTGTAACCCTTGTCCCAGCAGGGCAGAGGCCAGAGAAGGGCCTGTTGGCTGGCATGGCCAAGAGAAGGGCTGCCTGCCTGTGGGCACAGCTGAGAGAAGGGCTGCCTGCCAGTGGGCACAGCTGAGAAGAAGCTGAGAGCTCTCCTGGTTGGAAGCTATCCTGATTAAAGAACTGTATCCCGTCTCCTAAGTCATATCCTTTTATTTCCAAGTTGATCCCGATCCTGAGTTGTAGCCTGTTACTTTCCTAATAAACCACATAATTGTGAGTATGATCTGTGAGTTATGTGGCCATTGCAATGAATTATCAAACCCAGCAGAGAAGTAGAGAGTGCTGCAGGGAGGACAGCTGGTGAAAAAGTTGGAGCATGGAGCTATGTTTGACCTCTACCTCACAGGAATCAGCTTTGTGCTGATCTTGATTTTCATCTCTCCTCCTGAAGATAGACAGGCCCTGATGCTAGATGATACGGGTGTACTCTACTATACCACCTGGAGGCCAGGGACCATCTTAAGCATCTGCCTCAGCTCAGTGCCTGACAACACTTGATAAAAATTCAGCAAATATCTATAAGCCTGCATATGAAGGATACTATGGGTATGTGATGGAGCTCCACAGTGAAAGGTGATTTGGAATCCTGCAGGCCTGGGACGATGACAGCCTTCCCAGGGAGGCCTGGAGTAAGGGCAGGTTTCATATCCTAATAGCAATGTCTGGCATGTACTCCATGATCCACTCATCAGAATTCTTCTATATTTCCACACAGGTCATCTTCTCTGACAGTTCTGTACAGGCTGACCTTTTTGCCTGGAATATTTATTTTCCTTCTTCTACCTGGCTAACTCCTTCTTATTTTTTAAGGCTCAGCTTCAAGGAACACCTCCTCTTGGAAGCCCCAGGGTTCCACTGTGCCTCAACAATTCAGGCTGGCAGGGACACCTCTCAGCGCTCCCTCTCCAGTTCAGGTTTGTATGGTCACCAAAGTACCCTAAGGATTCCTTAATCCATCCCACCTTACACACCTCAGAAAGAGCTAAAAACCGTAACAGGATAAATTCAAATTAGATGAGAGAGTTTCTTCACTATTAAGGGTGAAAGGCAATGGAGAAATTAAAGACCTTCAAGGGGTCTTTTCCCTCCTCCCTCATGTATCCAGATAAGGGCAGTGGAGCCTTTATTCAGGCAAGCAAAAGCTGAAAATGCGTCTCAGGATCTAGGTTACTTAAAAGTGAGGTTTTACCTGCTGGAGCATCCTGCTTCAATGTGGTCAGCAAGGGTTCTGAGTTGTAGGCACGTGGAGTGCTATTCACCTGGTCGTGGAGTACAGGCTGGGGCATGGGTCCAGCCAAGGGCTCGGTTCTGGGGGAATGTGAGACAAGTCACCCTGGAGCCTGGGGTATAAGAGAGAAGACAAAGGCCACACACAGGTTAAGGCTTCTCCAAGGTGATTCACTCTCGCTCCTCCCACTAAGCCAGAGAAACTGACCTGGGACCAGGGTGGCACTGGGCAAAGAGGGAGAGTCAGCCCTGTCCTCTGCCAAGTAGGGAACAAGGGAAACTTTTACAAGAGCATCCAGAGGCTCTCTGGGTTCCTTCTGCAGCATCAGTGCCAATTCTGCAGGGGCTGGGGTGGGGCTGCAAGTCTTCTGTGTCACTGTGCCATGGAGGACATAGAAGACACTTGGGAGACAGAGAAGCCTCCTGCCCTATCCTCTGCTACACAGAAATATTCTATTTCAGTGTAACCAGCAGCTGGTAGGGTGGGGAGGCTTGAGTCAACCCATGATGCTACAGGAAAGCTGTTGTGTGGGAGGGAAATCACAGCTCAGCCATTCACTGGGTATGTAACCTTGGGTAAGCCACATCACCTCCCTGGCCCACCTTGAAAATGGGGATAGTAAAATCTACCTCACAAGGAGTAGTTCTGAAAGTGAATAGAGTCATCGTTTGAAAGCACTGCACAAAGTACAAAACCATAAATTCACTCAAAGGGTGTTTTGTTAGTACTGTTAATAAGAGTTGATAAGCCATTTGGGAGGCTAATCAGGTGGGACAATCCAATCAAATTCAAGAAGGTGAGGATTTCACAGGAGGAGAATGTGCCCAAGAGAGGGGGGTCTTGACCAATCTCCAAAGAACTACAAGTGACCCTCAGACTTGGAGTTTCCCAGGCAAGGAACTATGAGGATGAAAATCCTGGAGAGATTTTCTTGGGGCTCTGAATACAGAGATGGGGACTTTCATGGGCACTAGGAAAAAAACAATGCAGGCAGAGAAGGGTCTCAGGACTATGTTGGACACATTCACCCTGGACAGTGACTGCACCCAGTCTGAGGGACAGCAATGCAGAGGGCTCCAGAGACTCAAGAACAAAGCTCCCTCAACTGGGAGCTCCTTTTAAGATAGAGGTTGAGAGGGAGAGCACAACAGATGTGGCCCTTAGAATCCAAAGTCCACAAGCCTGCTAGCACACAGATGACTAGAACTCTCTAAGCCCTATTCTGTTTTCTCAACTGCAAAATGTAATAATATCTAGACCTCACAGTGCTGAGCTAAGGATTAAATGGTATAGTACCTGTAAAAACACTTTGTAATTAGTTATTATGATACAGTCTCAGGTTCCAGCCCGAGTCAAGTCAGTTTAGAGCAGTTTTTTCCAGTTATCCCAGCTCCTGCTCTTCAGTAAACTTCGCGGTTAAAAACCCATTGCCGTCGAGTCAATGCCGACTCATAACCACCCTGTAAGACGGAGTCGAACTGCCCCGTAGGGTTTCCTAAGTGTAATCTTTACGCAAGCCGACTGCCACATCTTTCTCTCGCTGAGCGGCTACGAACAGACCTTTTGTTTAGCAGCCCAGGGCTTTAACCACTGCGCCACCAGCCAAGAATTTCAGGAAAGGGTGTGACCATTGTGGGCAGGAGAGAGCCAGTAATGAGTGGATGAAGTAACGAGTCAAGACAAGCTACAACCTGATCACCAGCTCCTCCTCCCTAGCCTGTTTCTTTACTCAGGGTAGTGGGACGGTAGACCAGGAGGGAAGCCAGGGAAGGGTCCTAGGGACCCGGCCGGCCCCGCCCCCAGGTTCCCGGCGGGAACTGGGTACTCCCCATCCGGGCAAGGTGCCCACCGTGCCCAGGGCTGGGATGCCGCTCCGGAAGCACCTGGCACGGGGAGAGTATGTCCTTCCCAGGAAGGTGGATGTGACCCCAGCCAAGGGCGCCAACTGCCCTGGCGTCTCCCTGGGCCAGCCTCCCCGTCCCCGGTCCCTGGGTAGTCCCGGAGAGGAAAAGGCGGCCGGACCACACTGCCAACGAGAACCCTCCTCACGACCCTGGACCGCCCCCCTGCCGGCAAGGTGGAAAGGTAGAAGAGAGCGATTGTGAAAGCTCCTGGGTCTAGCGAGGCAGGGGCTCCGAGCTGGGCCACCTCCTCCTTGGATACGAGAGGGTCAGAAAGAAAAGGGAAAGGGCTTTTTGGAAAAGGGACAGGGAGACGTCCTCTTCTTCCTTAGCTCTCCGGGTAAACCGGCCTCCCTCTGCGCCTTTGGGGTCACGAAGAGCTTTGGATCTGGGCCAAGGGTGGCACTCACCGGTCCCACAGCCCTAGCTGAAGAGCGTGCGGCCCTCGCCCGGCCCGACTGGAAAGGCGGGAGGTCGGGATAGGCGGCGGGAAGAGCCTGGGGGCGGGGGGGAACAGGAGGAGGGAAAGCCGGGACCGCCGGATCGCACCCTGCGGGCTGCTGCTGGAGCCCAGTGACCGGGAGGCGGCCGGCTCCTCCCCCGGGGCGGGGCCGCACCGCGGCCCGGGGCGCACGTGGCCAGCCCGGGACGCCTGGCCCCGGGGTTGGGAGCTCCGTCTGGGACAAGATGTTGAGACTCTGGGTAAAATAAGGGTAACGGTGAAGCTGGGGACTCCTGTGTTACGGGGGCAGAGGCGCGGGAAGCAGGGTTTCCTGGGTCTTCGGGTCAGGGACTGGGATCTTTCAGTAGAGCACGCCGTGGCCGAATCTTGCGCTAGTCCTTCGGACCCCATCACCCTGACAAGGCCTCGCCATAGGGGTCTGAGGGGCAGCTGTGAGGCGACGCAGCTTTCCCGTTCCCGGGCGCTCCTCTGACAGATCAGCCCATGGCCACCACCCGAGAGGATCTGAGCTGGGCGAGCCCAAATTAAAGGACAAGACTGGGGAGCCAGCGCCACCCCTCTGCAGGCGGGTAGTGGGTGTGTGCGGAATCCGCTGGCCCGGAAGAGCAGGCTGCCCCGCGCCAGCCGGAAGCTCCCCTTCTCGGGAGGCGGAAGTGGGTTGCTCCCGCGTTGTGCTGCCGGCGAGATTGGAGCCCGACGGCTCTGCCCTCGTAAAGGACTTTCTGCTGGGGGTATCCAGGACCACCTGGAGCACGTGAGCAGTAAGGGCTGGGCGCAGCTGGGGCGGAAGTGTCAGAAAAAGGACTCATTTTTTTCAGACCTGCAGATTCGGATTGGTTTGTTACGGTGAAGTATCGTTGCTGCTCCCAGATCACCTATAATGCATTCATTCATTATGATTCTTGCTTGACCAAAAAAGTATGTTTGCCGCTTTTCAGGCATTGATATGGGGCAGAAAGATATTCTATATCCCTTAAAAAAAAAAAAGAGCAACACTAATTGCATCCCCCCCTCCCCAAATGATTAACATCCATCCTATCTACCTACACCTTGACGTGAAAATATGGCTGGCTGTCAAAGGTGTGGCTAGGAGGTAAGGAGCTTAGAGCTCAGTTCACTGGAGGGCTGGCATGTTGTACCATTGGCAATAGGCTCAGAGAGGCTCTGAGCAGAAACACCCAAGTGTACTTATAGCTAGTTAAACACACTTGAATTTGGCTTAAACTATTAACTAGGTGTATTTAATTTTCATTAAATAATCTTCATGATATCTTCTGTGCTCTGTAGTAGAAATTCCTATCTGCCTGCGATGCCATTCTGAGGATTTGTATCTCAGATTCACTTTCTTTGTGAGTTTGCCTTATACGGAGAATAAAGCCCCTTAGGTAGTGTTTAAGATGAGCTTTTAACCAATAATTTCATTAACTATTAGTTATGACATTTCTATCTTAATGCATCAATGTTAGACTTCTTCCCAAAAATCTCGGGAGAGGAATCACAAGTCCTAGGTTCTGCTAGTGATTTGAAGACATTAGGGCCTAAATTTCTGCTCTGCAACCTAGGAATAAGAGTAAAATCAAGTCAGGTACCTACATATACCAGTTCCACAAGAACATTGCTTTCCATAAATTCATTTTTTTGCTTTCACAGGAAGAAAAAAAACAATGTCTCAAAAGCAGATGAAGGAAGCTTTTGTCAGTAATCTCAATGGAACCACCATCCTGGAAGTCACCCAGGTCTTGTGCTTGCCTGCACCCTATATCCTGTGCAGAGGGCTGCTGACCATTCTCTTACAGCACTTCTATCCTTCTTCATATACTTGGAGAACCCAATTCTTCATTGACTTTGTTGTTCTGATAGTTCCCCTGGTGGCCGCTTTCACCATTTTGTCTTCATTTCTCCTCCTTGAGCAGCTTACTGTAATTATCTTTGGGGCAGGACTGGCCTATCAAATATACCACAGGAGGACTTGCTATGCCAGAGTGCCTGTGCAGAAAATCCTTGAAAATTTCTTGAAAGTCGGTCTAGAATCAGAATACATTCCAGCCATCTCCTGTTTCCGTATAATGAACAATGTATTTACTGCTGTTGCCATTTTGGCTGTGGACTTCCCACTTTTTCCCAGACGATTTGCCAAAACAGAGCTGTATGGAACAGGAGTAATGGATTTGGGAGTAGGAGGCTTTGTTTTTGGGACTGCAATGGTTTGTCCAGAGGTTAGGAAAAAATCCAACATGGAGATATCCAGATTTTATCACCTTACAAAGTCATTGCACTCTGTTTGTCCATTAGTCTTCTTAGGAATAGGACGATTAGTCACTATAAAATACATAGACTATCAGGAACATTTAACCGAATATGGAGTTCATTGGAACTTTTTTTTTACCTTAGTAATTGTGAAATTACTAACATCATTGCTTTTGATTATTTTCCCCCTAAATAAATCCTGGATTGTGGCCATCAGCATTACTGTATTATACCAGCTAGCTCTTGACTTTACCCCACTAAAGAGGTTAATTTTGTATGGCACTGATGGCAGTGGCACAAGGGTCGGTTTACTAAATGCCAACCGAGAAGGAATAATCTCTACTTTGGGATATGTGACAATATATATGGCTGGTGTGCAAACAGGGTCCTATCTGTTTAAGAGCAGATCACATATCAAAGACTGGATAAAAGTAATACGTTGTCTTCTACTGACAGCTGTTAGCCTCTTCTTATGTCTTTACATAGTTCAGGCAAATATAGAAGCAGTATCTCGAAGAATGGCCAATTTAGCCTTTTGTGTTTGGATAGTTGCTTCCAGCCTGATTTTTCTTAGTAGTTTATTAATGGGTGATATAATTTTGAGTTTTGCCAAATTTCTATTTAAAGGTACTCTAGTACCATGTTCTTGGAAACTTATCCAGTCACCTGCTACAACTAAAAAGCATTCAGAATCTCTAGTCCCTGAAGCTGAAAGAAAGGGAACCAGTCTTTGTTTAATCACAGCTATTAACAGAAACCAGTTATTTTTTTTCTTGCTGTCAAATATAACCACTGGCTTGATCAACCTAATGGTAGATACATTACACAGCAGTCCCTCATGGACCTTATTTGTGCTCTATTTCTACATGCTTATCAACTGTTTAACTCTGTTTGTGCTACATTTGCAAGATAAGACTATAAAATTTTGGTGATCAATATGGGTAATATTTATCTGTATTTGGGCAGTATTTTAATGGAGAATAAATATTAAATGTGAAGAAAATGTGCTTTTGGCAATCCAATGTTAACCATATTTTATTATAAAATTAAGTTTCAACCCTTCTCTGCGACATTGGTGGTGATACTTCCTATTTTAATGTATCTCAGCACTATATATATCAAACCAATAGAAGAAACAAAGCCTGTAATTTGTTAATTTATTAAATTTAGTATGTCAAACAAACTGTTTATAAAATTGCAGCACTGGAAGATTAGACAGTGGGGAGGAAGATTTTTATTTTTCATCTTATAATCACCTTACACCATTGTTTTTTTTTATTGTATTACTTTTATAATAAAGTTTATATTAAAACATTTCAGTGCGAATTGTGGAATTGTTGATCCTTTATTGCTCAATTTTAATCTTTTAATAAAGCCTAAGTATTTGAAATTGACTCGACAGCAATAACATAAGCAGCAAGTGTTTAAAATCAAAGTATACTATGAAGTCAGAAAACAGTTAAGTGCTCTAAAGAATAGACTGAATTGTTGATACAATTCACATATGTAATGATTGAGAGAATCGAACCTAATTGGACCTAATTCATTTTTTTTAGCTTACTCTGTGCTGGGAATATGATGATGAGCAAAGCTCAAGCTATCTGACATCTTGGAGCTTGCAATCTAGTGGGGGAAACACACTAGTCAACTGTGATAAGTCATGAAAAAGAAGTATAGATTGCCAAGAGTTTCAAATCAAAGACTAATCTAGTAAAAGGGAGTTGAAAGTTTTCCCCACAGATGGTACTTAGAGCTGATGGATGTGATGAGGAGTTACAGTGTGTGTGTTGGGGGGCGGGGGGGGTGGGGAGTGCTGACAAGGGAAGGCGTAAACAGAATATTCTAGGTAGATGAATTCTTCAGCAACAGTCCTGAATTGGGAGGGAACCTAGCACATTTTGGAACTGAAAGAAGGCTAGAACTTAGAAAAAGGGAGAGCATGGGCAATGAGATGGAGGTAGGCAGGGAGTATATCAGGCATGCCTCATCTACCACGTTAACAGGAACTAGTGAGAAAGAAAGTCATCAAGAACCTAGTCTAATAAAAGTATGGTTGTATTAAGGTTTAATATGCTATTTAGGGCTTCAGTCATTCAAAAAATTTGTTCAAAATCTAAGATTTAATAACCCTCCAGAAAATCCTTAGTTTCCAATTCTAGTGTTTCACTGTATATTATTTAAAGTAGGTAAAAATAAATAAATCAAAACTTGCCCTGAGATGTATTTTCAAGTGGAAATCTGATTACTGCAGAAATAGCTGGGGGCCAGAATGTCGAAGTTAACTTGCTATTTGGTAGGCAATATGGATTTGTGTAGTATAAGGGAAGCAGAAGGGAACCCTGGTGCTGCAGTGGTTAAAGCACTTGGCTGCTAACCAAAAGGCTGAAGGTTCGAACCTACTAGCCGCTCCATGGGAGAAAGATGTGGTAGTCTGCTTCCGTAAAGATTACAGCCTTGGAAACCCTATGGGGTAGTTCTCTGTCCTATAGGGTTGTTATGAGTCTGGATCGACTCAATGGCAGTAGGTTGTTGTTGGTTGGTAGGGTAGGTAAGGCCTCTTCTAATATTAAATCGTAGATTTACTGTTAGTTTTAATTAATCATCTCTAGTCGGAGATTTTATTCCCTAATTTGTTAAATATGACTATTATACTAGTTTAATTTGTTATATTGATGATGGCTAATTTAGCATTTATGTAGCGCTTCATATTTGCTAACTACAATCAATTATATGTGGAACTGTATTATTGAAAACAATTTTCCCTGTAAAGAAATCAGCATGTTGAATAATAACATAGCTATAAAAATAAAAACCAGATTAGATTTTATTTTCAATTAAAAAGGAAGAATTTTGAAAGTTAGCCAATAAGATGATAATATACAAATTAAACATGACTAGGAAAGCTGACTGGTTTTCCTGCTATCTCACAGTGCCAATACCCGACACAACCTAGGCCCTATTCACTTCCCAAAGTGACTCCCATGACTTTAATATTATACAGTTAATGTAGAAAATGACAACCAGTTTTATTTTTATTGAGCATGAATGTCCAATATGTTGTATAAGTCATCCAAAAACATCATACTTTGCTTCCTTGGAGTTCACATATAGTCTATGAAGATAAGATACAGTGAGAATTACATTAGTACACTTCATTTCTTTTAAACCTAGATAACCTGAGGAATAATCATATTTCATTTATGCCTGAGTTTTGTGGCTGGCTTCTCAGATGCTGGGAAGCTAAAAAAACAAAAACTGAAAACCAAAGAATGGTATTTTGATGATAATTTATCACATTTCCATCAGTCAAACTGTTCATTATTAGGTACCAGAAAAATGTCCTCTGCTGTTGACGGTCATCTTTCCTGGCCTTTCAAATACTTCAACCTACCCTTCACAATACCAATATCAAAGTTAAAGATAGGCAACAACAAACTTTTCATGTAGCAATCATTTTTTAATTAGAGATACTCTCTAAAGGCAGATACTTCTCATCTTAAACTGCACAGAACAATACTCAAGAAATATTTGCTGCAGCCCTACTGGTTACAGCTGAATATAGACCAGTAGTGAAAATGTGTCTGCTCTGAAACTGGGAATTGTTTTGCAATGAAATAATTTCGTAAGCATTTTTCCTTAAATATTGATTTTATCATATTTGTACCACCCAGGCTAACTCCTTGAGAAAGAGCAACTTATCTGCAAATTATTCACCTTTTTAGCCTTACAATAAGTTATTTATTGAATGCCTGTAATATGTAAAAGGAGCCCTGGCAGCACAACGGTTAAGCACTCAGCTGCTAACCTAAAGGCTGACAGTTCAAACCCACCTAGTGGCTCCACAGGAGAAAAATCTACTGATCTGCTTCTGTCAAGATTACATCCAAGAAAACCCTATGAGACAGTTCTACTCTGTCACATGCGATCACTATCAGCTGGAATCAACTAGATGGCACCCAACAACAACATGTGATAAATTGTCCAAAAATACTAAAGCAGCAGGCTCAGAGGTCCTAAAGGTCAAACCCAAATCAGGGAAAGTAAGTAATCTCAGATGAAGAGATTATTGTGGTCTCATTTTAACATATTTTATATCTGGGTTTTAATGCCTTTTCTTAGACTTAAATCCGAAAAGTGAATACTCTTTTGTTCATTAATGAAAGTTATTAAAATCAGCATCTATATATCAAGCTCATTGTTGTCAATGTCCTTTACAAACCACAATCCAAAGGAAGTTTAAAAGGTACAATGTAAGTACATTTAATTAACTGGTATCGTCCTTATAGGAGCACCTTTAGACCTTAAAAGTCACAAGTATTTCTTTTTTCTTAAGTCTGTTTACCTCTAGACCTTAAAAGTCACAAGTATTTTTTTTTTCTTAAGTCTGTTTTTACATAGAACATGAAATTCTCTAAAAACGTCCAAGGTTTGGCTATGTAGTCTAACCAGTCAGAAGCTGCAGGCACATCCTATATACCTATTGGATATAAACTAATGATCCCACTGTTCTCCTAATACATCCAAAAGACATGCTTACTGGATAATCATACCTTTGGGACTAAACAATGGTTCTTCCAGTTTATTATGTCATCTACCCTAACAGTGACCACACAATGTCATAAGTCAACATGGCCAAGGATGCACCATGGGGTTTTTTGTTGTTGTGAAATCTCTAAGACTTCATGTGACGACCAAAATTCATTTTAAAGGTCAGTATCAGAGCTCTAGCCTATTCTCCTAGGAAAGATAGATTTGTCTTTAGCATTAGTTAGTTGTAGAGCAGTCAATGGATTCACCCTTCAGATCTTCAAAACGTTCATAGGCAAAAGACTTCCCAACTATTTTGGCTTTACAACAGATCTTCAAAGACTTCAAGGTAGGAACGGAGCAAACCGTGGCGGGTCGAGTGAAGAACTCTCTTTATAGCAGCTCTGCTTCTCAGGAGACAGCCAGAGGGAAGGGCCCTTGGCCAGTACCAGCACTTGCCCAAGGGAATCGTCCTCAGTCTGAGTTCCTAAATTAATATTAACCCGGCCCACTAAGTTCCTCTGTCCAGGGCACATACACAAGCCACTTTCCATAAAAAGGATAGTAGGTTTTCTATTTACTTCTAGTGTAACACAAAAATAACTGTCAGCTCTTAAATACTTTGTCCCCTCAGCGGGATTTCGACGCAGTTCCAACTGCGGAGCAGTTATGCAGCTGGTTCCGGGTGAATCAGTGTTAGGGCCACGGAGATAGGCCTTCGCCTCCAATCTTCCCGCAGTGGAAACTGGATTAAGAGAAGTCAGGTACCTGGAAACCGAGCTCAGAGTTTGTCTATTACCCGCCAGATGCTCGTCTCCCCTTCCCCTCACTCCTGCCTTCCGTTCTGACCGATTTCGAAGGCCTCAGCTTCTCACCACTTACCCAAGTCCTCACCGGGCCTCGACCACGGGTCGGCTCGGCTCGGCTCCTTTGGCCACCGGCTCTCGGGAGAGCGGTTCCCGGTACCGCGCGGCGGGAGACTGAGGTTTAGGTCTACTCCTCCTAGCAGCCCTACTTCGGATTTATTTAAGTAGCCAGACAGGGCGAAAGGCGCCGGTCACGAACTCGGAATTGTCGAGGAAGGAATCTCACCCCCTCCGCGAGGGTTTCGAAAAGGGCAAGCTGGGAGCGACGATCAACAGTCTCGCGAGAGGAGGAGGGATTCCGCCCAGCGTTCTCGGCTCCTCCCTGCCCTACCCGCCCCACGTCTCGCGCCCTCCCTCCCCCACTCGCCGTGGCGCGAGCGGCTGACTGAGCCTGGGGAGGAAACGGCATTCGGAGCCGCGCTCCCGCCCAGGCTGGCCTTGACGCGGGGCTCGTCAGCCGGTAACGGGGAGCAGAGGTGGGGGTCAGGGAAGAGACCACGAGACAGTGAAGGTCAGAACTGAGAAACCCCCTCCTGCAAGGGTGAGGACAGCGTCGGAGGCCCCCTTAAGCCTCCGCAGAGCTGAGGTGGGGTCGACCCCTCCCAGGGGCGGGGTCGCGCTGGGCGACTGCAGCCCTGGGGGCTGACTGGGCGGGGCGCTCCAAGAATGGGGAAGAGGGGGTCAGCTGTGGGCTGAGGGCGCCCCAGCGGCCGGAAGCGGGGAGTGGGCTGTGGCGCTGAAGCTGGGGTGGGGTCTTGGGGCCGGGACTCCCGTGACGGGCTAGGGTAGCCTCTCCTTTAGACCCAGACTGGCAGCCGGCGCGGGGGTGCAGAGGGAGAGCGGCGCGAGGGGGCGGGTCCCGGCGCTGCTCGCCGCTGATTGGCTGAGCGCGTGTGGAATCGGGTGATGGGAAACGCCGCCCGGCTCTGTCGTCCCCGCCTGCTCCGCTCCCTCCCCCCTGTGGCGAATGTGCTGCGCGGCGGCGGGTGCTTACGCTCGCGGGGTTTGGCTGTTGCAGGCCGGAGGAGCTGGGAGGAGGCGGCAGCAGCAAGAGCAGCAGCGGCGGCGGCAGCAGCTGCGAGGAGGTGGTGACGGTGGCAACGGCAGCGTCGGCGACGATGGCGCGACTGGTGGCAGTGTGCAGGGACGGGGAGGAGGAGTTCCCCTTCGAGAGGAGGCAGATTCCGCTCTACATAGACGACACCCTCACGGTGAGCGGGTCGGGCCGGGCTGGGCTCGCCGCTCCCTGGCAGCTGTTTCCCCTCCTCCCCCTCCCTCAGCCCGAGCGCTGCGCACTGGAGAAAGAGTGTGTTGCAACTCCTAGGCGAGGCCTTCTCTCCAGCAGGCCCCACAAACTCGCCTTTGCAGTGGGTCACTCTGTAACGTCTGCGGGCCCCAAGCCTAGCGCTCCGTACGCACTTTGACCCTTTTTCTCAGGTTTTCCTTCGTTTTTGAATCCTCTACCTTTACCCTTTCCCTCCAGGAGACGCTGCTTTTGCCCAAGCACGCTCCTTGAAGAGGGGTTGAAGAATCTTAGGCGTTTAGGGCCTATCCCTTACAGAAACCGCCTACCCTGCGGGAGGCTTAATTATCTGGAAATGTCGCAGCTGTAGTGCTACCTGTATATTTCTATTTTAATATTGTAGCTCTCACTACATAAGCATGATTACTGAGGGCACAGTGACATGCACTTGCCGAGAAAGATTCCACTAAAAGGATTTGATTTCGTTGTAAATAGTCTTGTATTTACTGTTACCTTAAAACTCTTTGAAATGTATATATTGCTAGGCCATGACTCTTCAGAATGGGCTTTCTTGACATTAGTTATTCTTTAGTTTACAGATAAGCTTCTCCCCCCCTTTTTTCGTTTTGAGGAAGCCAAATTATTGAATGTGTACTGTAAAAAGCTGATTGATCATTTTGAGTGTCAAGACCCAGTTCTGGGTAGTTTTCAGTTTTTAGAGTTCATGGTTGTGCAGCATTACGGACCCTCTCTACCCTGTGTTGCTGTACTCTTTCCTTTAAAAGGAAATGGCAGAAATTTGAACTGAATCTGAACAGGAAATAAAGGGTACAATTGCTTGCCACTATTTCTTAAGAAATTAAATGAACTTTTTATGAGTATCTTTTTAAATCTTTATTTTGATGATGTTGAATATGTGGATTATACATTTTTCTATTTTGGCAAGGTGTAGATGAGTCTTTTCATTTTACCATCTTTGATTTTATACCATTCAAAAGCATTTTATCTGTTATATTCCTGATTTTTTATTTGAAGATATCTAGTGAGATTTTTTCAAATTTTAAATAAAATGCAAGTCATTGTAGAGATGTCACTCTATGCCTTTCTATTTGCCGGTCTCAAGACTTGTTTGAGCTGTAAGACTTTTAGAAGAAGTAGGAGAGCTATTGAATGACTTGATTTGTTAGAACTTTTTAAGTGAAAACATCTATAATTACCCAGTGCCCTTTTTTTTTTTGGAAAAGGTAGGATAATTTGGCCGAACATAAAGTAAATGAAATTTTTGTTTAATTTTGCTGCATTGGAAATTATTTGTATGTATTCCTTGTTATGATTTCTGTATTTCTTGGCGTTGAAAGTATAATGGACTTGCTTTTTAAATAGTTTTTAAAAAAGCTAGCACTCTAATCAAAGTATATGATGCATTTCTCAATTTGAAAACTCCTGATAATGAAGTGTTATTTGTTGATATTGTCTTGCTTCTCTCTGTCTCCAACATAAACACTTTCCTAAAGCACATAATTTGATGTCAACATTTAGGTTTATTGTCCTAGAATGGATTTGAAGTTAAAAAAAAATGCCACAGATTTTGAATATAAAATTTCTCTTGAGTGTATAATACCAAAACATAAGGGAAATCAACATGAATTTGAGTTATTTACAAAATTTTAAAAGAGATTTATTGATTCTCTCTTCATACCCACATAACTACCTGTAATGTGAATACAGCATTAATACATCAGTCACATAGTACTTGGAAATAGCCAACTTTTGGGGTGCTCTTATACTCTTTTCTTTCTCCAGTGATGTTAATTTACAAAGTTTTCCATAGAAGAAGATGTAACCTTGCACTGTGGTTTAGTACTGCACTTATTTCTCCAGACAAGTTTGGATTCAACTGTACCTGGTGGTTGAATTCTGCTTCTAATGTAATGTGGACTTGTGACCAAGGCAAATAAAATTTGGGCTTACTTAATTTAGATATTTCAAAATAGCATTTTATTTAGGAAAAGGTGCAGTTTTTCTTTGCTTTGGAGTGGGTTTTTATCACTAAAGAATGAGTGGCATATTTCATTTATTACTTTATCTTGGGACTTCTGCAGTTATTGAATGCTGTTTTGTGAAAATTCTTGCCAAGAATGTACCATAATTAGGGAAACTAGTTTATTTTGGGACCATTCTACCAAATATTACTTACAGGGAGAATGCAAAGCAAAACACTTGTTGGGGAAGGGAAGCAAGGGGGGGAGGGGAAGAGGGAGGGAAGATACCTGTAAAAGAGGATGCAGCTTTCTGCTCTGCACTTGTCCATTGATAGTTTGGTGTGTGCCTGAAGTTAACATTTGGTTTGGTCTTTGTTCCTAGGGACCATAGGTAATGCTCTGAGGAAACAGTGTTTGATCTTTGGGAGAGGAAATAAGAGATCATTTATTTCAAGTAGTCTTAGAATCTTCTCAGCAACTAGATGTTACAGTCTAGTTATGTTTACAATCAGTTACAGATGTTTATTATTTTAGTAACAGGAGGTTTCTAAAACCTCTAACCTTAAATGATTTTAACTTGGATTTGTAAAATGAAATTAGAAAGCTCCTGTTATGTGATATGTTACATCCAAGTTTAAAAGACTGATATGGTAGTTTATGGATTGACACAGTGGCTGTAACAATGAGCTTAAGCATAACAACAATTGTGAGGATGGCACAGGCCTGTGCAATGTTTCTTTCTGTTGCATAGGGTTGCTATGAGTCGGAACTGATTCGATGGCACGTAACAACGGTAGTTTACTGGGTTTGAACCCTTGAGCACTGTGCTGATCTAATTGTATTTGAAAACAATCTCTCAAATAAGTAAGCTGATGGAATATTTACCAAAATAGTATGCTGTGTGGCTAAAATGCTCTTCAGTGTTATTAGAATCGTAAGCTAGCAGATAGACAGAATAGAGATTTTATTTTAGAGATGTTTGAAGAAGTACACTTTTTGAGTATTTTTTTAAAGAACTAATAAAGTAAAAATATATATACTTTGTAAAACATATCTTGATTAATAACCGCAAAGCAAATTATCCTTAATTCTATTTCCCAGAGATAACTGAGGCTACAGCAGCACTTAGTGTAATTCCAGTCATAGATACACACATAGATGCGAGTTGAGATAATTGTCTTCCATACCATTTTATGTCCTGCTTTTTTTTCACTAAATGTACTGTTGAGAGTGTTTTCTTGTTGTTCTTAAACATTTTAAATGGCTGTGTAATATTTTCTTGTATGACATCCCATAATTTAATCCTTCTTCTATTATCAGACATGTATAAGACTATAAATAATGCATAAACCTTTGCATTTTACAATTTTTTCCTCTGGAAGTTGATTTTTTTTTTTAATAAAGCTCTTGATACATATTGTGAAACTGCTACAGTATTTTTGGAATGCAGTTTGCCCTCCTACTTCAAACCAATCTAAATGGACTTGAAAGTCTGATAAGAGTTTTCAACTCAGACTTTAAAAGATAATCATGGTAGCGTATCCACTTGGGAATTAGGTGTTCAGCATTTGTTAAAAATTTAGCATTTAACATTTTATTTTTCAACTCTGGATTTAATATTTAATTTTACCAAGGGTGAGATGTTACAAATAGCTGTGAGGATGAAGAAGTAAATGAATAAAACTAAAGTAAAAATGATTTTGAAACACAAACCTGATATAATTGGTTAGAACTTGTGAGAATGTAATAAAACAGATTATTTATAGTCAGGAGAAACCAGGACAGATACTTAAGAGTGAAAGTGGGTAAAGCATTTAATAAACTTCATAAAGCAGTAATTGCAGCACAATGACTAGTTCTCATTTTGGCTAGCTCTGGATAGGCAGCCTCATCATGAAGCCAAACACTGATGATGCCTTTGTAAAGCCACACCTGAAATACTTTACAGGACTGTCTTTCTTTAGGTTACCTAGAATCTGAAGATTAAGTCAAGGAATGGGGGAAAATGGTGCTGTTATCTTCTCTGCCATCCACTTGTTTTCCTTTTTCTTATTGTCCTCTCTTAAGACATTAAAAGGTATAGTGAAAATGGGTAGCTCCTGTCTGGAGCTGAGATGAGAAAGCAAAAAGGGACAAGAGCTGGTTGAATGGACGTGGGAAATCCAGGGTGGAAAGGAGGAGTGTGCTGTCACATTATAGGGAGAGCAGCAGGGTCATATAGCAACGTGTATATAGATTTTTGTATGAGAAACTGACTTGAACTGTAAACTTTCACTTAAAGCACAATGAAAAAAAGGCATAGTGATTGGTCAGAGAGCAGCAAGGAAGAAAGCCATTGTTCTAAGTGTTTGAAAGGCATAGACAGTATTTAGTGTGAGTGTAGGGTCTATAACGGATGGTATAGAATAAGTACAAGACAACATAAAGTGTATATGTGGACCAATGAAACCCAGGAAAAACATAGTAATAGACCAGATCTTTATGTTTATAGACCTATACTCAAACTCACTCTTTGCTGTCAAGTTGATTCCAACTCATAGTGATCCAATAGGATGAGTAGAACTACCCCTAGGGTTTCCAAGGAGCGGCTGGTGGATTCGAACTTCCGACCTTTTAGTTAGCAGCCAAACACTTAAACCATTGTGCCACTAGGGCTCCATAGACCTATATTGAAAATGGAGTGATCTGAAATGAATATTTTTTAATCAAGTTTCATACTGACTTTTTAAAAAAGCATTCCGAAAGGAAGTATTATCCATATAATTAGATTATCATTTTTTAAGGTGAGCTGGTAGGTTTTGCTATGTTAGATGTGTTCTTTGAGCTCTGCTTTATTAGAATAATAAAATACAGTTGATCAAAATAAAAATATTTTACTTACATGCAGTCAGAATTTAGGATTTCCCCTGTGAACCGGGTTGTAAAGACTTTATTTTGGTTAAATAAGGAATGTTGTTTAAATATTTCTTAAATTGATAGCTTTGATCTTAATAGTATAGATAATTGTCTTTTTTTTTTTTTTTTTTTAATGGTGATAGTTGGTTTTGGTGGTGAAATAATAGTGTCTATTTGTATCAAGCAAGTGAAGTGCAATCATACTGTTAGTTGCTTAAATGGTAGGTTTGGAGTGACCTGCAGTGTTCTATTGAGTTACGTGTCTCTGAAAGCTTAACTTACACCATTTTTATGATTTGACAGTTAAATTGTATCTTAAACCCAGTGGTGATTCCAACAAACAGAATGTGAGTTAATTGTACTATTACTGTTAGTTTATTGTTTTTCTGGACCACTAATACCAGGATTATTAAATTTTTTTTTTAATCAAATGTAACTCTTAATAACTTAAATAAAATGGATGGTATGGATCATTAGCTATTTTACCCATTTACTTCAGTCACCTTATCAAATCATTTAAAGCTAGTATTAAAGTAGACTAGTGACTTCAGTTTTACTTTATATTATTGGTAAGGTTAATATATGAAAGTGCTTAGAACAATGTCTAGTATATATGAAGTTACATAAGCGTCTTACTACCACCACCCTTTGGAGATATTGAGAAGGCCATGAGAGGGAAAGCTAGAAACAAGATACTAGCATTGGTTAACCTGAAAATTGGATAATTGATCCCTGAAAGTAAGAGATTTGGACGTACAGTCTGTGTTTGGAGGAAGACTTTTAGAACAGTAAAAGCTATTGACATAGAAGCGTGTCTCTGAATATGGTGTGATGAATATAGAATTGGAAGCAAGGAACACTGATTATTTCCCCTAATGTTAATTGGGTGCTGCTGAGTTGATTTCAACTGATGGTGTGTTGTTAGGTGCCATCAAGTCGGTTCTGACTCATAGTGACTCTGTGTACAACACAACAAAACACTGCCTCGTCTTGTGCCATCCTCACAATCTTTGCTATGTTTGAACCCATTATTGCAGCGACTGTGTCAGTGCATCTTGTTAAAGATCTTCCTCTTTTTTGCTGAACATCTACTTTGCCAAGCATGATGTCCTTCTCCAGGGAATGGTCCCTCCTGATAATATGTCCAAAGTACCTGAGATGAAGTCTTGCCATCTTTGCTTCTAAGGAACATTCTGGCTGTCCTTCCAAGATAGATTTTTCTGTTCTTCCAGCAGTTAATGGTATATTCAATATTCTTTGCCAACACCATAGTTGATATGCATCAGTTGATGCATTTTGACTTATAGTGACCGTATGAGACAGAGTAGAACTGCTCCATAGAGGGTTTCATAGGCTGTGAACTTTACAGGAGCAGATCTCCAGGTCTTTTCTCTTTCAGAGCCTCTGGGTGGGTTTGAACTGCTGACCTTTCAGTTAGCTGAAGTAGTATATGTGCATTGTAATAAATTTGAGAAAGATAGGAATACATAAAGAAAAAAGTCCTATCTTCTCACTACCTAGAGATAGCCACACCTAATATATTATGTATTATCCTTTTCTGTAAGGTAAAATATATCACATACAAAAATTTGAATTGTATATGCAATTTTTGGTTTTGTGAAATACAGTGAAGTCCTCTGGATTATTAAGTCAGTGTCCCTTCTCTTAGTATCCATTTGTCTTTCTGCTTCCTGTATCTAGTGTTTCTCCCTTATCAAATTAAGAAAATATATCTATTGTTTACACTTGCCTTAGTTGTTAATGTGTAGAATAAGCATGTGTTAATTAGGTCTTTTCTAATGTGGAGGGGAAGGACTGATAACCTCCATTAAAAAAGATTGTGTGGTGCTGGTTGGGGAAGGGAAGAACCTTTATAAGATCACATATTCAACTGGGTGGGTTTTTTGTTTTTGTTTTTGTTTTTGTTTATGCCCTAAATGGGTCTCTTTATCTTGACTTCACTATTGTGGCCCTTGTTGTCTGGAAATAGAAAGTTTGTTCTTAGTACAGTATGTTTGATATATTTAGCATTATTTTAGTTAAGATATAAATGTGTTACTGTATTTCATTGGTTTGAACGCATACTTTTTGCACATTTTAACATCTCTGAAACTGGGATGCATCTTAAATTTGATTCATCCTTCAGTTATAATGGCTTTTTCCTTATTGGTATGTAACTGTGGTACTTCTTAAAATCAGTGGTGTCATAGGTCAGTGAAATTTACTAATTACTGATTCCCATTATCTGGCATTCTGAAACATCCTTAAGCTTCATATCCTTTTCCTCTGGTAGTGAAATTTTTATAGTTGAGTCAATATCACAATGTATTTTTTGCTCATAATTAGAGCTAATATTTACTGTGTGCCAAATACTGTTCTAAGTACTTTATACATATAATTCATTTAATAGTTATTACTCTAAGAATTTCTGTGTCCATAGTCAGAGGAATAACTAAAAATATCATGTTATTTCATTTACTAAGTGCTCTTATTGGGCACTGCAACAAACACTTGAAAATATTTAATCCTCAAAGTGACTCTGAGAGTAGATACAAGAAATTATTACTACCTCTCTGAGAATCAGACAGGTTAAGTTAACTTGTCCAGTGTTATGACATAGACTGTAAGTGGTAAGACTTGGATTTGAACTTCAGTCTCCCTGACTTCAATGCCTTTGATCCTAATCAACTCGTATAACTTGGATTTTTTTAAAACTTTTTTTTGGGGGGAGTGGGGCAAATCTGACTTTGGGCAAATCTATTTTTGCTCGGTGAGTTTATAAAATTGTCTGCATCATGTGTTTGAAGAAGACAAAATAATTGATTTTAGTTCTTTTGCATTTTAAGATGGTGATGGAATTTCCTGACAATGTGTTAAATCTCGATGGGCATCAGAATAATGGTGCACAACTAAAGCAGTTCATTCAGGTAATAATTTTTTAATCAGTATTTTAAATGATCTGTGTGTGTTTTAAAGAGTCTTTTAAAATTCTAGCTGTAAGTATAATTTTGTTTTACCTAGGTCTTAAGATTTCATTGAAATCGCTACAGTGAATAAACTCAAATGTCTGATACATGTACTTGTTATGTAACAAAGATTTGGTAGTGTTGTGTTAACATTTTATGTTCCTGTAAGGCTCTGATTTCACCAGGTTATCTTTCCCTTTTTCTTTTTAAGATAGGGTGTCTTAGTTATCTAGTGGTGCTATAACCATAAGTGGATTTAACAAACAGAAATTTATTTTCTCACAGTTTAACCCATTGCTGTCGAGTCAATTCTAACTGATAGTGACCCTATAGAACAGGGTAGAACTGCCCCATAGGGTTTCCAAGGAGTGGCTGGTGGATTCGACCTGCTCACCTGTTGGTTAGCAGCCTGAGTTATTAACCACTTTGCCACCAGGGCTCTGTTCTCACAGTTTAGGAGGCTAGAAATCGAAATTCAGGGAGCCTGCTCTAGGGGGAGGCTTTCTCTCTCTCTGCCCTGGGAGAGGGTCCTTCTTCCTTGGTTCCCTCCTGATCTTCATGTGGCATGGCATCTACCTTCCCCCATCTGTGCGTCTTTTCTTCCTTGCTTAGTCTACTTCTTTTATATCTCAAAAGAGATTGACTCAAAACACTGTACACTAATACTGTTTTATTAACATAACAGAGAAAGCCCATTCCCAAATGGGATTATAGCCACGGGTCACTTTGAGGACTAAGGTGCACCTGACTCAAGCCATGGTATTTTCATGTGAACGCTAGATAGTGAATAAGGAAGACCAAAGAAAAATTGATGCCTTTGAATTATGGTGTTGGCAAAGAATATCAAATATACCGTGGACTGCCAGAAGAATGAACAAATCTGTCTTGGAAGAAGTACAGCCAGAATGCTCCTTAGAAGCAAGGATGGCGAGACTTTGCCTTACGTACTTTGGATATGTTATCAGGAGGGACCAGTCCCTGGAGAAGGACATCACATTTGATAGAGAGTGAAAAAGAGAAGACCCTCAACAAGATAGATTGACACAGTGGCTGCGACATTGGGCTTCAGCATAGCAAAGACTGTGAGAATGGCGCAGGACCAGGCACTGTTTGTTCTGTTGTATATAGGGATGCTATGAGTCAGAACCTACAGCACCTAACAACAACAACACAAAAAAATATACCTAAACCCACTGCTGTCCAGTCAATTCTGATGCACAGCGACCCTATAGGACAAAGTAGCACTGCTCCATAGAGTTTCCAAGGTTATAATCTTTATGGAAGCAGACTACCACATCTTTCTCCTGCAGAGCCACTAGTGGGTTCTAACTGCTAAACTTTCAGTTAGCAGCTGAGTGCTTTAACCACTGTGCCGCCAGGGCTCCTTAACCAGAGGTGTAGGGGTTAGGATTTAAAACACATATTTTGGGTGGTTACAATTCAGTCCATAACACAGGGAATATAACTTTTCGTTAAGAACTTGTTGGTTTTCTTCTGTAGTAACTGTTTAAAAAAAAAAGAAATTTCTTGTATTATGAACTTACTGACGTTTTATTTAATTCCTGAGCAGTATCATACTTGATAAATACTCTGTATACAATCAAGATAATGAAAGCTAAGTTATTAGTTTACTCCGAAACACTATTCCTTGTCTATATGGGATCAAAGTGACAATAGCAACAATGATTAGATAGGAACCTTAGGTGGCAGTGAGTTTATGTTAACGGGGGAGGAACAACTCAGAAAAGAAGGATGAGAATGATTGTACAACTTAATTGTACATGTATAAACGGTTCATATAAACGGAGCACATTTTGCTGTGTATATTAACGACAACAAAAAATTGATGTAGGAAATGAAAATGTTGACACATTGTGAAAAATGTAACCAGTGTCAGTGAACAAATATGTATAGAGATTGTTAAATGGGAACCTGATTTGCTGTGAAAGGTGCCCCAGTGATGCAGTGGTTAAAGCGATCAACTGCTAACGGAAAGGTTGGTGGTTCGAAACTACCAGCAGCTCCGCGAGAGAAAGATAGAGCAGTCTGCTTCAGCAGAGATTTACAGCCTTGGAAACCCTGTAGGATTGCTATGAGTTGAAATCAACTTGATGGCAGTGGGCTAATTTGCTGTGTAAACTTTCAACAAAAACACAGTAAAATATTATAAAAACAACAGAAAACAAAACACTATTCCTCCTTTTAGAGAAAACTTTCAGTGAAAGGTTAATGGCAAATGTTGAGACAGTGCTTCTTGGGAATTATCTTTCCCATCTGTTTTTTGGTAGATCAGGAGGCATTAATTGTGTTGCAATTATAACTTCATCCAGGTAGGAGTTACTAGAGTTTTGCCCATTTCTCTACAGCTGTGGTTCTCAGTCATTTTTCTGCATCATCATAACCAACAGATAACATTCATATGCACCAGCATATTAGTTACTCACTGTGGGCTTCTCATAGGTAAGATAGGTCTTGTTCTCTTCTGCTAACCCATAACATACCTGTCCATACCTCCACGTTGAGAATTGCTGCTCTGCATGGTCACCATCATAACTTGACTCCTGTAGCTAAATATAGTGTGGTGTTAAAAGTTGGGAAGAAGACATGATAAAGCTGCACTGTCTATATTATTATTTTTTTTCTTTTAGTGAGAATGCTAGGCTTAATATTCACTGAACAAGGCCTAAATTTCCAGCCGCAGGGCTTCTTTTTTCCAGATGCTTGGGGCACATAATGCCTAGGCCTGGCATCCTAAGCAGAATTTGTTACACCCTAGATTCTAGAACAAGGGGGTTTGTGGAGCAAACTCAATACAGCAGGACTAGGCTGCCTTTCTGACTCAATTGCAGACAGACAATAAGCCCTGCCCAGGTTGTACTTACTGCTCAAGGATGGGAACCAGAAATAGTAGTGAAAAAATAATTTCATGTCATTCTTCTTAAGAACTCTTCATTTTTCTTTCCCTCTTTCTTTCAGCGGCATAGTATGCTTAAGCAACAAGATCTCAGTATTGCCATGGTGGTGACATCACGTGAAGTCTTGAGTGCACTTTCTCAGCTTGTCCCATGTGTTGGTTGTCGTCGCAGTGTGGAGCGCCTCTTTTCCCAGCTCGTAGAATCTGGAAATCCTGCCCTTGAACCGCTGACAGTAGGGTCCAAGGGAGTCCTATCTGTAACTCGAAGCTGCATGACTGATGCAAAGAAGCTTTATACGTTATTTTATGTACATGGGTAAGTATAATCAGTTAGGAAAAAGTGGGTTTGTTACATTTTTAAATAGTGGCAACTTTTTTTCTAAATTTGGTCAAGGAAAAGATTGGGAAAGACTAAGTTCAATTAATCAGTTTTATTGAGTAACTTGTATGTGCCAGTGAATGTAAAGTTTTCTGGGGAGAAACAGACAGTAAGCAAACATGTAATTTGTCAGGTATGATAAGTTACAAAGAAAAAGTAGAGTAAGGAGGATAGAGAATGGGTGGGTAGAATTAATATGAAGCCTTGTCTGATAAAATGACATTTGAACATAGACTTGAATAAAGTGAATGAGCATGCCATGTAGATATTTAGGGGAAAGCAGAGAGGGAATAGTAAGTTTAAAGGTTCAGTTGCTGGAGTGTTCCTGGCATGTTTGAGGAACAGCAATGAAACCATATGGCTGGAGCCAAGTGAATGAAGGGAGTAGTAATAGATAAATTTAGAAGGATAATAAAAGGTCCTTATAGTGCCCTGTAGGTCATCCTGAGGTCTTTGGTTCTTACTCTAAGTGAGATGGGAAGCTTTGGGAGCCTTTTGTGCAGAGTTGTTAAATGGTCTGCTTTGAAGTTTTATCAGGCTTGTTTGACGTTTGTGTTGAGAGTACCGAAGGGAGCAGGGCAGAAGGACAGGTGAAAACAGAGAAACAAAGGCTAGTTAATAATCCACACAAGAGTTAGTGGTGACTTGGACCAGGGTGGTAGCCACAGAGGTGTTGAGAAATGGTCGAATTCTGGATCTATTTTGAGGAATAAGGCAGTAGGGTTCACTGATAGATTAGATGTAGAGGAAGGTATCAAGGATGATTCATAGATTTGAGGCCTAAAGAACAGGGCAAATGGCTTCCATTTACTGAGATGGGTAAGACTGTCATTTTGGGGGAAAGATCAAGAGCTCACTTTTGGACATGTTGAGTTTGAGGTATCAGTTGGACATCCAAGTAAGAGTACAGAGAGGCGTGGCCTGGATATATAATTTGTATCATCAGCCTGTATATGGTATTTAAAGCCATGAGGCTAGATAAAATCATCAGAGTGAGTATAAATAGGAAAAGAAGAGGTCCAAAGACTGAACAATGGACTTTCCTATTTAGAGGTGATGGTAGGGTCTTTGGATTTTACTCAGCCTGAGAAAAGAACCTTTTACAAGTTTTTGAACAGAAAAGTAACATAATCTGATGTATGTTTTGAAAGGATCACTCTAGCTGTTGAGCCTAGACTATAAAGGGCAAAGGGTGGAAGCAAGGAGACCAGTTAGGAGGCCAGCTATTACAGTTGACTAAGCTAGAGATAGTGGGGGGTTGGTCAAGGATAGTAATGGTGGAGGTGGTGAGAAGTGATTGGGTTCAGCATATATATAAAAGTTATACACCAAAGACAAGAAAATATTAGCCCAAGAGACAAAAGGCCACATAAGCCAGAGACTCCATCAACCTGAGACCAGAAAAACTAGATGGTGCCTGGCTACCACCACTCACTGCCCTGATAGGGAACACAACAGAGAGTTCCAGACAGAGCAGGAGAAAAGTGCGGAACAGAAGTCAAATTTACGTAAAAAGACCAGACTTAATGGTCTGTTAGAGACTGGAGGAAGCCCCAAACTATGGCCCCTGGATGCTCTGTTAACCCGGAACTAAAACCATTCCCAAACCCTACTCTTCAGACAAAGATTGAAGTGGACTATAAAACATAAAATAGTACTCATGAAGAGTGTGCTGCTTATTCTTAGTTCAGTCAGATACCTGAGACCAAATGTGTGGCTCCTGTCCAGAGGCAGGATGAAAAGGCAGGAAGGGACAGGAACTGGCTGAATGGACACAAGAAACCTGGGGTGGAAAGAGGGAGTGTGCTGTCACATTGTAGGGATTGCAACTAATGTCACATAACAATATGTGTATAAATTTTTGTAAGAAATTAGCTTGCACTGTAAACTTTCACGTGAAGCACGATTGAAAAAAAGAGCTGCAGGCTGTGCTGATTGGTTAGATGTACGATGTGGGGGTAGTAGTGGTACATATTCTATCTTTGCGTAAAATTTCTGGTTTTGGCTCCTCATCAAGGATGTTGTGTGGGTTTAAATAATGTTTGGGCAAGAGAAGATGGCTTCAAGTCAGGTAGCAGTCAGTCTTAAAATATTTGAGCACCAGGCATACCGCTAGATACAGTGGGGACACGGGTGAGCAAGACAGATGCAGTCTGAGGGAAAGAGTATGTTGAATAGAGCAGGTCTTTTGACATTTTGACAGGCTGGGGATGGAGTGGGAAGACAGGTATACTCTTGGGTTAGAATTTCTGTGATAAATTTTCAAGGTAGGTGATTTATCTATAATCCTTTATACTTCCCAGTAAAAGGCAGAAAGATTTTTAGAGTTCTAAAGAAAAATAAATATTAATCAAACCTTTAATGGTTTATTTTTAATTAGGTCCAAACTTAATGACATGATAGATGCTATTCCAAAAAGTAAGAAGAACAAGAGATGTCAGTTGCACTCCTTAGATACACACAAACCAAAACCTTTGGGGTAAGTAGAATTGAATACCAAGATGCTTTGTCATTGTTAAGATTGTAAGTGTTGATTGTGTTTAATAAAAAGAAATAACATTGCTGTTTAATTTTATTAATTGGTTACACTCTATGACATGGTTCAAAATATGTCTCTTGGTTCTATAGGAGTTTTTGCATTGGGACTGTATCGGGTCTCAATATAAATTTGATTTTTTAAGAAATTTTTTTATTATTATTAAATATGTTTCAGAGGAAGGAGGTTGAGATCTATGTGGAAATTTATATACCCGATATTAAGTTTTTCAGATTAGTAGTATACATTCATCTATGTGTAATAGTCATGTATAAATTATTTTTCTTGTGTTTTTCTCTAGGTCTCACTAATAATTTCTCAAGGATTAAAAAAAGTCTTGAATTAGTTATGGCAGTGTGTATTTAACTAATTTGCAGTTTTCTTGGTTAGGCACTATAATGTCCAGGGCTGTTTTTGCCCCCACCCCCCAGCATACCACCACAGTTGTACTATACCAAATTTCTTGGGGGTGGGGTGGTAAGGAGTGGAACTTGAAGGGAGTTTCTTAGAAGTAACTTCTGTTTTTGAGAAAACAGGATGATATAGAACTATATTTCTGAATAATTTTAAAAATTAATTTTTTAATATTTCATTAGTGTCATTGACACTGTTTTTATATAGATATTTTCCTCTTTGATTAGAAAATGAAACATCCTGGTGACCAGGTGGTAGTGTGTTGATAATCTGTTAACAAGCCCCCCCCATACTCAGGAATAAAATTTAAAAAAAAATTACAAAAACTATCAAATACATACAAAAGTAGAGTGAATATAAAGAAATTCCCATATACCTTCACCCAGATTCAATGGTTACCAAGATTTTGCCACACTTGTTTCATTTATCTACCTTTTTCTTTGTTGAAGTATTTTTAAGCAAATCCCAGATGTCATATTACTTTATTCCTACATACTTCACATACATTTCTAAATATATGGACATTTTCTTTCATAACTGCAATGCCATTGTAATAGCTAACAAAATTAACTAAAATAATCTAATACTCAGTTCGTACTCAGATTTCTTCAGTTATCTCTAAAAATGTTTTTTTACACTTGGTTCTTTTGAATCAGGATCCAAACAACCACAATTTGCATGATACCTAATGTGAGAGTACTTTGAACTCAGTAGAGGGCTGCGCAACTTAAACTTGTTATCTGAGGATAATTGTTACTTCACGTACCTGAGTTGCCAGTATCTTTAGCAGAGAATTCCTGACTCTCTAAAGAATGCAGAATTCATTCTGATTTTCTCATTAGACAATGACCTGTTGGCTGAAGGCACAGAGTAGCATGGTATAGTATTTAGGACTAAAAAGCCTGCCTTCTGGTTATTTTAACTTTACTTTTTTTGTTGTACATATACTTTATTGAGGAACTAAAAAGCAGTAGGTAGCCCAGCGTCTTATGTGTCTGTGCTAATTGCTACTTTTCTTCAAAGACTGTCCTTCCACTTTTACTTTGGATTCTATCTCCTTTCTTCTTCTCAGTGACTTTGCTTTATCAGATACCTACTTTTACTAAATTGACATATAGTTATGTTTTGCTGTCTTTCAGCTTAAAAACAAAAACAAACCTCCACTGACTTCACATCCCCCTCCATCTACAGCCCCACTAGATGGGAAGTCAAATGTTTAGAAGGTTGTTTGCTGAGTATGGAATCAGAATGAATGGAGTTAATTGATCTTATGCAGTGTCTCCTAAGGTAGCTTCAGTTAGTCCCACATGCGATATGGATGTCAGCCAAGACTCCCTGTCCTCCACTTTAGATGGTCACCACTATTATATATTTCTACTGTTGTCCCAACCCCCCTTTTTTGTTTAGACTTTCTCCAAGGAAAGTATAATATATTTCATTAGGTTTCAGCCTAATAAATAGCAACAGCAATCCAGGTCACCTTTCCTGAAAGTATATCCATGCAGGTAAACCCAAGTTACTATCTGTTTGGAAGTAAGTTTGAGATCCAAAAGAAAGGTTTAGACTTGAGTTGTAGGCCTTGTAGCTGATGATTGAGGATCATCTTAGAGAATGCTTTTGAAGATTAACTATGGGAGGGAATAGAGTAAGAGAAAAGTGCTGAGGAATTCGGTTTAATGGTGGAAAAGAAGAAGCCAGTGAAGAAACTTGAGAAAGAGTGGCCAGAGAGATAGGCGGAAACCAAGGGAAGAGTGTTTCAAGGAGGTCTGGTCAGCTGTGTTGGACGCTGCTGAGTCATCAAGGACCCAAAAGTGTTCTTTGGATTTAGCAACACTGAGATAATTGGTGATCATCTTGATGAGCAGATCTAGTGGTTGAGTGGAAGTAGAACTCAGATTGGAATGGGTAGAAAAGTAAATGCAGTGTAAGGCTGCAGTGGGCTCGGCTCTGAGTGGAAATGTATGGGAATAGAACAAGGAAGTGGAAAGGTCACTTTTTCCAAGACCTTGATGTTGAAGGGAAAGAGTGATATGAAGACAATACGGTTAGAGAGGATTATAGATAAAATCCTGATTTGAACCTCTTCTAAAAACATTTTTTTTTTTAAAGAATAATGCTTTCACATTCTGATGGTATAATAGTCATTCCCCAGTTTGTTCATTCTCTTCCTGAACCTACCTTTTCCTCAATTATGAGAACTTGAGTTTGGGAGTTATCCAGTTCCAGGAAATTATGGATCACTGAAGCATGATTAGAAAAAAAGAAAATATGGGAGTTGAGAGTAGAAAGATGTAACATGGAAGGCAGAGCAGGAGTTGAGGTTTTTCTTGTCAAAAATCAGGGGAGCTCAACTGTGATCTGAGCCCTTGTAGGGGAAGTAGGGAACTGAACTGTATGTATGACCTTATATATTGGGGAGGGGGTTGAGAAGTACCTATTTAGCTGTAGACTGTAATTAAGTAAAGATTCAGAGGTTTTTCCATCTCAAGCATCCAAGGTAATGAATTTCTAGGACTGTAGTGAGACCTGCAGAAGAACAGGCAGGAGCCAGTTGTTGAGAATCATGAAAAATCAAGAAGACAGTCATTGAATGGAATATAGACATTTCTCTTGGAATGCACATCTGCAACAAAGCAAAATGCATGACCAACGCCTCATTGAAACCTGTGGGGGAGGGAGAGTCTGGGAAGTTTTTAGTAAGTTTTTAAAAAATTATTTGTATAGTATTTATTACTAATTTAGGCTGTGTAAAGCGTTCATCTTAGTATGCTATCTTCTAGTAAATGTAAAAATATATTTGCTATTATTAGATTAACCTCTGATTTCCCTGGCTACCTGTAGATGTGAAGGTAGATACAACTTTTGTTGCCATGAGTTAGCTATAATAAGGAGTGATTTTTTTTAAAGTGCATTTAATAGATAAAAAATGCTAGAATTTTCAATTTGTGGAAGCTTGATCCATGTTTATAGGTGAAAATATTTTATAATTTCTTTCAGTCTTTTGACTTTAAAACATTTCAAGTAGATTTGCTCATAAAATGCTTAGTATATTAACCAATTGCTATCTTCATAAATGTAAATGTTGTTAAATTGTATTGGTTAAACTTGATAGTCAAGCAGAAGTTTTTATATTAAGGTGTCAGCACGTTTAACATTTTAATATGGTTGAAGTTTGTAATTATATACAAATTTTAAACTTATCCTACTGGTATCTTAATGTATTAAAGAGTTCATGATTTTAATTTAGACTATAGAAGTTATTCCTTCAGATTATCTCAGTGTCACTAAGCTTTGTACTATACTGTACTACAGTGAAGGGAGCAGTAGCAGTGTCAGTTCAGAGAAGTTAAGTACAGATAAGAGAAGTAGTGAAGACCACAGGAAGGACAGCAAGTGTAGGATCATTTTCCATTATGGACCTTTCCAGGGAACAGCCAGGTAAAATCAAGCAATCCTTTACTTGCTTTTCTTTTCTTTCTTTCTTTCTCTTTTTTTTTTTTTTTTTTTTTAATGTTTTACCCTTGTACATTCCTCCTTTTCACTGATATTTGTTTTTTCTGCAGAGGTTGTTGGATGGACGTATGGGAACTAATGTCCCAGGAATGCAGGGATGAAGTAGTTTTAATCGACTCTAGTTGTCTTTTAGAAACACTAGAAACCTATCTTCGAAAGCACAGGTAAGTTTAAAGGTCATTACAGTGTAGTGTGAAGGGTGCCTTAGCAGTCAGTCATCCAGGCTGGCCTGTCACTGACCCCCATCATATAATACTGCTAGTTTTCCCATTAATGCCTGCCACTGGCAGCTTAATGTCACGGTAGGTGCAGTTCCTTTATAGACTGACTTTCAGTGTTAACCCTTGTATTGAGCCAGCATCTCCTTTTTTGTAATTTTTATTTGTTGGTTCCAGACCAATCTTTTTGGGAAACACAGTATGACTGAATATTTGGAAACTCTGGTAGTCCTTATTTTCAATGTAGAGTCATTTTATGATGGCATTTTCAAAATTAGCAGCTTCTCATTTAATAATAGTTTCAGTTTTTTCTGTAATTGTTTGTCAAAATCTAAAAATAAAGTCAGAGTTCTTGTGCTTCATGTACTATAGAAAAAATTTCACATTTTTCTTTTTAGAATACTACTTTTACAAAGGAATTTTCTAAGTTTGTCATTAGCATTTGGAAGTTCGTAGGGAGGGAGAGTGCAATAGGAAAGGAAACTGGTAAGGGCGCTATCTAGAGATGGCTTTTTTTTTTTTTTTTT